ATAGTTTATTGCAATTGTTAGATATTCTTGTTGGGTTGTCTCCTTAATTATGATATAGGGACCTTCTTCATCTCATTACAGTCTTTGGTTTAAAATCTAGTGTGTCTGATATGGGTATGACTACCCTGGCTTTCTTTTGACATCCATTACCATCATAGATGGTCCTCCATCCTCTCACTTTCAACCTGGAGGTGTCTTTAGGTCTAAAATAAGTCTCTTTTAAGCAGCATATAGAGAGATCTTGGGTTTTCTTAAACTATTCTGATATCCTGTGTATTTTTATTGGAGAAATTAGTTCATTTACATGCAGAGTAATTATTGACAGCCAAGAATTTAATGCCATAGTGTTACCTGTAAAGTGATTTGTTTCTGGAGATTTTCTGTCCCTTTCGAGTCTATGTTGCTTTTGTCTTTCTTTCCCACTCAAAGGTTTCTCTTTAGTACTTAATGCAGAGCTGGTTTAGTCATCATAAACTTGTTTAGTTTTTGTTGGTCTGAGAAATTCTTTACCTCTCCTTCTATTCTGAATGACAGCCTTGCTGGATAAAGTATTCTTGGTAGCATATTTTTCCTCTTCAGCACTTTGAATATATCATGACACTCCTTCTGGCCTGCTAGGTTTCTGTGGAAAAATTTGTTGCTAACTTGATTTGTCTTCTCTTGTCAGTTAAGGATTTCTTGTCCCTTGCTACTTTCAGGATTCTTTCCTTACGTCTGTATTTTGCAGATTTTACTACACATAGATCAATGGAACAGAATAGAAAACCCAGAAATGTACCCACAACTATATGATTAACTAATATTCAACAAAGATTAGTTGAATATCCAATGGGAAAGAAATAATCTCTTCAACAAATGGTGCTGGGAAAACTTGACAGCAACATGCAGAAGAATAAAACTGGACCACTTTCTTACCATACACAAAAATAAATTCAAAATGGAGGAAAGACCTAAATGTGAGACCGGAAACCATCAAAATTCTTAGAGGAGAACACAGGCAACAGCCTCTTTGACCTCAGCCATAGCAACTTGTTACCAGACACGTCTGCAGAGGCAAGGGAAACAAAAGTAAAAATGAACTATTGAGATTTCATCAAGATTAAAAGCTTCTGCACAGAAAGGAAACAAAATCAAAACTAAAAGACCACCTACTGAATAGAAGATATTCGCAAATGATGTATCTCATAATGGGGTAGTTTCGTTACTTGCCATTTTATATTTTACTTACATGTTAATTATCAATCGCATCTCCCATTAATACTTTGTCTTTGATAACACCTTTAAAAGTGAGAATGTACCACTCTGCTGCAGGATGTTTCTAGGGGCAAAGTGGGGAGGAAGATAAGGAATACATGGGGACTCTCTGGGTACTTAGTGCTCAATTGTGCTATGGATCTAAAACTGCTCTAAAACACACAGTCTCCTTTAAAGGAAATAATATACAGTATTAGAGCTTATTCTAGTTTCCCCTTAGGCTAGAAAAAAAAAAAAAAAACATTGGTTTCCATCCTAAAACAAGAGAGGGTAAACTACAGAGTCATAATTATTCCTGAAATCACCAGAAAGCTGAGATGCAGAGCAAACCAATAGCATGAAATCTCAGGAAAGACCAGCACATGCAGACAGAGACAGAGACAGGATGTGAGCTCTTCCTCACCTGGGCCAGAGACCGGGAGGAAGACAATCCCATGGGAATTGCTTTCACGAAGGGCTCAAGTTCACAGTGGGTGACTAGAAGCACATAATGGTTGAAAGCCGGCGGAGGGGGATGGGGGGACTGGGTGGCTCAGTCAGTTGAGCACCCACTCTTGATTTTGGCTCAGGTCATGATCTCAATGGTTCATGATTTCGAGCCCTGCATTGGGCTCTGTGCTGACAGTGCAGAGCTTACTTGGGATTCTCTCTCTCTCTCTCTCTCTCTCTCTTTCTCTCTCTCTCTCTCTGTCTCTCTCTCACGCTCTTACTCTAACTCTCCCCTGCTTGCTTTCTGGCTTTCTCCCTCTTTCTCTCTCAAAAATAAATAAATAAATAAATAAACTTAAATTTAAAAACTTAAAAAAAAAAAAAAAAGAATGGCTGAAGCCAGAGCAAAAAGATGCCCACCAATCCGAGACTTCCTCCACACACTTGGAACAGTCCTGGCGAGGATGTTCAGGGAAGAGTGGAAACCAGAGAAAGCCCCCTCCATGGTGCAGGTTTGGTGAAGGCACCACAGCCTCGCAGCTGCAGGAGGCAGGCCCTGGGCCCAGGTTCCGGCTCCATCATGGGACATGAGCCTGAGCCACTGGGGGAAGGGCAGCAAACTCTGTCCCTCAGAGACAATGGAGACGCATTACTGAGGGAAGAGAAGAGAGCAGGGAAAAAACAAAGTCTTTCTCGAGGGTCCTTGGGGCAGGAACCCACTGTGTTCAGACAGTGAACCATCTCCTCAGCCTGCAGGGGTGGAAAGACCACTAAGAAGGCCCCAACATGACACACAGCGACAGAGGATGTGCCTGAGACAGAAAGATCCAGGACAAGGGGAAGAAAGGCTCACCATCCCTCACCGGCCGCCAGGGACTGAGGAACAAGTCACAGCTGTTACCAGGGCGTAGGGGCGGCCTGTGGACAAACACACTCTCCACATGCAGAGCCTAAAACTCAGGGAGGTTCAGGGCCACCGGGGAGAGCCCTCCCACCCCCAAACTCCCCCCACTCGGCACCAGAGGGGAAAATTAACTGGCTGGTAGGTGGGGACAAACACAGAACCCAAGCCCCACTCAACCCGAGAGTGCACTGATTCCCACACTCTCCTCAGCAAACAAGCCCACGGGACAGTCAGAAGGGATGTGCCCATTCCAACACGTAATGCTGTTTATCTCAGTTTATTATCCTGCGTACGAAATGTTCACTTGTCAGTCAAAATTAAAAGGAAAAGCAAAACAAATCTCAGTGTCATTGAACAGAGAAATTAACAGAACCAGAATCAGGTGGACTTGGTTATAGGCCCTATCACACAGGAGGGTTAAATAACTCTCATCTGTTAAAGGCTCTGCTGGAAAAGATGGACCATGTCACAAGTGCTTGAGGAATGTCAATAAAGACTTGGAAACTACACAGAGGCATGAAATAAAAGTGCTGGACACAACAAACACAGAAACAGAAGCAAAGACAGCTTATGAGCTGACTCAGTTGAGCTGAGGAACCATCAGTGGGTTCAGAAGCAGAAAGGCAGATGCAGAGAGGTCCCCTGTGTGTTGACCTTGGAGGAGGGGGAAGGGCAGCAGCAAAGGCATGGAGGCAGGAGAAAGGCACAGGGACCCTACAGTGGACAGTGAAGGAGAGTCCAGAACATTTCATCCGGATGCTGAAATGAGTACACAGCATCTTCTTATACTTTCCTCCTCTGCGTGTCATGTGTATATTCATATTTTTGACTGATTTTCTCTCCTTCTTTTCTACTATTTTATGTAGGGCTGTCCACGGTGGTAAATTTTACACTTCACTACATGATTTACATAATATTTAGACCAGGATAATGACATTTTAGAGGGATTATGGGGTCTACATAGGAACTGCAATCTGGGAGAAGATGCACTGTCCCTCTGCAATCTCTTTTACATCATGTGACTTGGCTTGACGTTTCTCCTTCATTCAGATTCCTCTAATGTCAACAGTATCCCTGGAGAGGTCAGCCAGCTGGTTCCCTGGCCTCTAATCTCTTTTTCCTCTGAATCATTGCCATAGCGATAAATCTAAAATGTAAATTTTATCAAGTCATATCCCTGCTTTAAAATATTTACCAGCTCCACATTGCTACGGAGTAAAATTTAAATATAATTTGGCATTCAATGCCCTCTATGATCTGACCCTTCTTCACCTACCTGCTTCACCCTCGCCATTTCCTCATCTTCTCTGCCCTGCAAGCATGGCTCCAGGGAATTTTTGAACTCTGTGTTCTTGTCCAGCTCTGTATTTTTCACTGCTTGTCCTCTGTTTCGGTTGTTATCATTTCGATAACTTGTACCCAGTTTCTTGATCTAAACAAGGACCTTATCCTGTCCTTTCATACAGGAAGACTTCTGCAATCACCCCAAAGTCTTATTCTTCTTGACTATTCCACCTCACTAGTATACAAAGACCAACTAGGGTCCTGCTGTGCGTGGGAGGAGGGATAGGAGAAAGTGTTCAAAATGAAGACTAGAGGGAAACACTGCACGGCTATTCTGATTCACCCAACACATATACACTTGTCTTATCAAGCACTGGCTTCGGCTGAGGAATCTGTCCTAAGATTAACTACAATTTTTATATTTTATACATGATCTAAAAATTTTGTGGGCTATTTCTGTGTTTAAAGTCTAGGAAAAGAGTTAATCCTTATTTCAGAAATGGGATGGCTTTAACAGTTAAATGGTACCCTTGTATATGTAGTCAAACTCCTCTCAAACTCTGCACTGTCAGCTGGTGCCCCAGATGTGGCTTATCCTTGGCCAGTAGTAGCCTCATCCAAACACATTAGTTACATTCCTATCATTGCAAAAGAAGACCTTCAGCTGATGCTCCTCACTGAGGTACGTCCAGCAGGCAGACGGGATGCTGTGTGCACAGGTAGGGGGTCCAGCACGAAGCCATCCTAACAGCCTTGATAGCACTCTCTTCTCAGAACAGCGATTCACAGAGTTACTGGATGTGGGTACATATGCTGTGCAGTATTTTGAGTCTAAAATGTGAAAATGCTCTTGTCCCCAATGGAAACACAATAACTTTACACAAAATTTGAACGAATAAGGACCAATGGCCCAAAGTAAATTCATGAATAGGTCCACAATTACAAGCAATGTGACACATCAAAACAGCAAGCTGTACTTTTTGTTCATTACTCTTAGGACATATGAATGGAGATTGAAGGAGGGTGGGAAGTTCTATTACCTCAATGCTCCACTGTACATGATGCTGTGACATAAATGTACACCCACAGCCCACACCCAGCCCAACTTCCAGCCTCCTACCCAGCATCACCAGGGCATGTATCAGCATCTCCTTCCTGGTTGCCAGGGCAATGCAGGTGATGCCTGCCGTATCTGAGTTAAGTGGGAGGAAACACAGGCAAAGCTCCTTTCTCTAAGTGATGTTCAGGATTCATCAAGTTGCCAGTTTTGATGTTAATCCGGATAATTGTCCCAGTAGTTTCTGCCAGGCCCCCTTCACCTCCTTATTCCTTACACTATAAATCGTGGGGTTCAGCACAGGCATCAGAATGGCATAGAAGACAGAAATCAGTTTCTCCTGAAGGACAGAGGGGTTGGAGCGGGGCTGGATGTAAGTGAAAATGGTCATGCCATAGCACAGGACAACCACTGTGAGGTGAGACGCACAGGTGTGGAAGGCTTTCTTTCTGCCCTCTGTGGACTGGATCTTCAGGATGGTGGAGATGATCCGGATGTAGGACAGGAGAACCAGGAAGAAGGGTGTCATCAGCAAGACGATGCTAGAAACCATGATCGTGATCTCATTGGAGGAGGTGTCCACACAGGCCAGTCTGACCACAGCTAGGAGTTCACAGGATATGTGATCAATATACTTGTTTGTGCACATGGGCAGCTGAAAGGTGATGATGGTCTGCATGAGAGAGTTGATTGAACCACTGGCCCAGGATGTGATGGCCAACCTCGTACAGAGCCCTCCATGCATGATGACCGAGTATCGCAGGGGGTCACACACAGCCACATAGCGGTCATAGGCCATCACTGCCAGTAGAGCAAACTCTATCCCACCCAAGCCAAGGGAGAAAAATAACTGGGCTGCACAGCTCACAAATGGGATTGCTTTATGTTCTGTAAGAAAATGCGCCAGCATCTGAGGAACAATGCTTGTGGCATAAGAGACGTCAACAAGGGAGAGGTTGGTGAGAAAGAAGTACATGGGAGTGTGGAGTCGGCTGTCCAGTCTGATCAGAAGAATAATGAGGAAGTTCCCCAGCACTGTCACCAAGTACATGATCAAGAAGAGGACAAAGAGGGAGACCCGTGTGTCCCAGTCACTGGACAGGCCGAGGAGAATAAACTCTCTCACCCATGTCTGGTTTTCTGTTTCCATTAAAAAATGTGAAGATTATTAGTCTGCAGAGAGTCAGAAAGAACAGACGCTATTGAGTGAAAGAGCCATAAGAACAACTCCTTCTTAAAAGAATGCAATTTTAATGACATGCATAACTAGATATTTTCAATCATATGGGCCAAGATGATAATCTTGATCCACTGTATCTATTCTATGTAAGAGAGGAAACTAGCACTTTCATAAGGATATGATGTGGACTCAGGGAGTCAGTTAAAGCCTGGAGATAAAGCAGTGCAATTTTTGGAAGTTCTGTGTCTCTCCCTCTTATTTGAGTTTCCAGGGCAGGGGAGAACTTAGATGACCAGGGGAGGTAAAATAAGCAATGATAGTAAGCATGGGTCAACATTCAAGGACAACCCTCCATGTATCTAGTGCATAAAACATTTTGAAATGTATAAATAAATTATAAAAGAAAAAAGATTTTGAGGAGGCAGATACAGATTGCAAATAAGGCTGGTGTCTCATGGAAAAATCTGGAATAAAAATCCTTGAATGTGAATCCTGTTTTCATGAAGATTGCGTCAGACGTTTAAACTTTGACATAAAAATGGGCAACGTTGCATAACATACAAGTATGTTTGAGCACAAGTGTGAGTCACTGTGGGGAAAGCACTTCATAACCTCTTCCTGGTAGTAGTACAGCACTCTGTTTATCAGTGTAAGTTGAAGCAGGAGCTCCACGCTGGGAGAAACAGAGGAACAAGAGCTGTGCTCTCCTCTCTTTTCCGATCCACAGTTTCAGACATAAAAAAAAAAAAAAGGAAGGAAAACCTTTAGTAGATTGAAATCTGCAAGGTGGGAAAATATGGCTCTTTTCAGAATTTGGTATCTTAGGTCTCTGAAAAGAGAAGGAGAGTGGCCACTTAATCCTGTTCTTTTTATTTTGCTACCCTTTTTTGCCTACTCGTTCTGACTTGCTCTTTTTATTTTTCACAACTCTAGCCCTTGTGTATGGTCTCAGTGAAAAGGTCAGTACAGAAATGGCTGCTTTGGCTTTCTAGTATAACAAGAGGAAGAGAAAGCAAATCTTTTAACTTTAGTTGACTCTTTAGCAGATCTGCATAGGAAGTAGATACTTGTTTTTGACTAACTTGGCGAATATCTCTAAGTGCCATCTTGGCCAGATGTTGAGATTTCAGGGGCAGTATTATACTTCCCCGTGCTCCGGATGCTCAAGGGGAAGAAAAAGACACAGAAAAGATTGGCATTCCGTCACCGTACCCCTGTTGCATGTGCGAGCTGCCTGGACAACAAGCCTGCCCATGACTCACTCTGCTCCTCTGGCCCACCCGGCACCTCTCCCTACTACAACTCTTGTCTTGTGGCAAATGATTGATAGCGTTGCATCCTAGAGAAAGTGGGACCTGGAGAGCCCAGAAGTTTTTACTTTAAATGTGTTCTCTTCTGCTTCCTGAAGGCTAGAGCAAGCTACTTAGATCTCTTAGCTTTATATTTTTTAATTTGTAAAATGTGAGAAATTTTGGCCAACTGAAAGGATCACTGGCGAACTCAAATGTTTGGAAGATCTGCAGTCAGTCCAATAGTGACTGAATAGGCAGGTGCCCATCAGTTAGTGAGGATAGTTGGTCGACCTTTCATTCCACATTGATGACATCTGGGATCTTATTCTGCAATCATTCCCCTTTCTCCCAACCCGAGTTTCTCTTGCTTCTGGTTGATTCCTTTTCACTCATTATAAAAACCCAATTTGGGGGAGAGAATCTGTGCTACATAATTTACCATTCTGATTCTCTCTTCCTTTCACATCCAGAGTTCGGAAACAATTGGTATCCACTTTCAGGGTTTATTTCCTTATAACATCCATCCTTTAGGCCATGAAATCTGGTTTCCATCTTCACAAATCCATAGATGTTGCCCTCTTGAACACCACACATGGCTTTATTTTTTAAAATTTAATTAAAGTCTGTTACCATGCAGTGTTGTCTTGGTTTCAGGAATGGAAGTCTTCGCTTTCTAATCATTGGATTTAGACAATTTATTCTACTTTACTCCTTTATTGTTTAAATACTTGAACTATTTGTTCTTCAAACTCTCAACATCCATGATGCTCTTCTGTCCTGGTTTTCTCCCAATCTAATGTTTTTGTCTGTAGTCTTGGCTACATATTTTAAGTTCTCCTGCTGCATTACTATAAGGATCTTCCAAGATTCTGTGAACAGAATAGGCTTTTCTCCCTACAGTTGTTCTTGGAGGACTGGTCTATAACTATAATCATTATCATCAATGTAGGATCTTCCACCTCAAGCCCACGATGATCTCCTAGACATCTGCAAAGTCCAGATGCTTCTCCAACAGCTTAATGAAGGATTCCAAAATATCCCACCAATGATTTAGCTCATCTCCCCACAACTTGTACACCATCCTGACTCCTTTACCTCAAGCATTAGACTAAAATTCTCTCTCTCTCTCCCAGGACATCATGTTTAGTTTTTTCTTCTTCCTTACACCCCACAGAACAAGTCCTCTTCTTTCATTGTTTATTTACGAATCTCTCACTTTTCCCTTCAACTTCATTCACACTGAAAATATACCACCACTGTGTTATCACCCTCCATCTGCTAAGTGCATAACTTCCTTTTGAATCTCACTGATCCAGCCTGCACCCAGTCCTGTTCATACTTAAATAATTTTCATGGATACATCAGCTAATTACTTTTAACTCATCAAACAGTATGTATATTACAGAAGTCCGTTGTCTTCGTTTTAAATAATTTTTTAAATTTTAATGAATTGATATCCAAATATGTCTGCTTCCTACAATGATAGAGTCCATTTTTGGACACCTGATAGATTAAGAAAATAGAAACAGCATCTGTATTTATTATGTCTGAGTGGAAATTATCCTTTTTGTACATCGTTTGGATGTAATTATTCTAAATGGAATTTTTAAAACATAAATTACCTGACCATATTGTGAATTTTAAAATAAGTCACATAAAAAACTGAGGCCCCTACAGATGGAGGAGGGTTCAGTAATGACACTGAAATTACAGGGAAGTTCCGGTCTGAGGTATGGAAGGAGACATCAACTCTTTGTTGTTAAAAAAGGACTTTGATCCAGTTAAAGTACCTCCATGTGCCTTCCCCCATTATCCAGTTACTAACATAAACAGCAAACAGAAGCAAAATGTTTTCTCTATAGAACAAATATATGCAATCAAAAAACAAGTTTTTAGATTCTCAACACAACACATTCTATATTATATAACATAACATATTATATATTTAACTTAATATAACCAATTAGAAAGCTCAACTTTAGCCAATCATGTATTTAATGACAAGAAATCTATCCATTTCCCTGAAATCTACCTGACCTTGTGTGTTCAGGAGCTAACCAATCTTGGCTGGGACAACGGAAGTCCGGAACACAGAAGGAGAACACAGGAAGGTAGGTCCCACAACCTGCCAATACATTTTTCTTGCTGCTCAAAATCACTCAGAGCCATACCTTCATGAAGTTGAACTATCCAGAGAAATGACACTTTCATTTAGAGAGAGCTTTCTCTGACTTGTGACTGAAGAGTTGGTTGACGTCAGCACGGAGAGCATCCATCTTGAGCAGGAATATTTGCATCATCCTAACATAGGGAAACAGAGAACCCAGGGGTGGCTTGGGTGGCTGGTGTCTCCAAGACTGGGTTGACCTCCTGAAGGAACAGTCACTTGATTCTCTTCGGGGTCTTGTGAACTTCTTCTAGCCTGATTTGGTTACCTAACGTTTCACTTAATCAGAGTCCCATTCTTGAAACTCAGTTTCTCAAACATGTGCAAACCTGACATGCACTTTGGTGACATATTTGGTCTCATGTAAATTCTTGTCTTCATTATACTTCTTGTTCCCTGTAGCTAAGACTAGTGTTTTCATGGCAATATGATTCCCTCTGTCAGGCAAGTCTCCACAGTGCAATCCAGGAAACCCAACCCTGGGATGAATTAGGACACCTAAGTCTTGCCTCCGGTTCATTCCCCGAGTGTCAAGGGTCTTTGAATAAGACCTTAATTGCCTTACATCTTCATCTGTTACTAAACAAGAAAATCATAATATTGTGAGCATCAAACTCTCCAGAAATAATTGAGATAGGAGGATATAAAACAATTGATGATATGCCTTCTCTGGAAATGTCATATGCTAATATTACCACCACCTGCTCGTCAATATCAATACCTAACAAACGACTCCATACTTGTGCGCTTCTTCCCTAAGTGTCTCTGGCTATGTTAAGCTAAGCTTCGGGATTAAGAAGCCTGTTGTAAAATTATACCCAAGGCTCATGTTCCTGCAAAGCACAGTTACTTTACCACATTTGCTACAATATGTGAGAAGACTTCACCAGCCATGTTCATGCCCCTGATCCAAGTTCCTAACAAGTCACTTCATTTCTGTCTCTGCCTCAGTCTCTGTCTCCGTCTCTGTCCCTGCTAAGGCCACACTCCCACAGGCTGTGGATGCCGCTCAGATGGTAATCAGCGCTGACAAAGGAGATGTGTCTGCTTTCCTCAAGGCTTAAGCTGGTCTCAAGGGCTCTGCCTCCAGCTAGGGATGGACCATAGTGAAGAGACATCCCAAATTCCGTGGACCCCAGGGCTCCTCTGTCACCTGGGACCAGCTGCCATTGCGAGGGTCACTGCTGGGAGGACATTGACAAGGGCTCAACAACGGCTCACACACAGACCTAATGAGCTTTGGCAGCAGCTGCATTGGCAGGGGAGGCTGACCCGGTCCCCCAGGAGCATCCTGCGTGACAATGTTAATGGCTGCCACCGCTCCCAATGCACAGGCCAGGGTCTCCCACTGCCCTTCTCCCTGTGGAAGGCTCTCCTCCACCCCTCTGCCTCTCCCATCTTCATAACAGCCTTAGGCCATTCTCAATTGCAGAGAAGCCAGCTTTCTGAGCTTGGACCATGTGCCCCTAGAGCCCAAACCAGACTAGCCTTCAAGGCCCCAATCTAGGAAG